GGGGGGGGACACGCACAAGCGGGGAGAAGAATGTTTTCTTCAGAATGGGGAGGGACGGGACGGGAGGTTTTAGGTGGAAATCTGTATTTATAACGTAATAACCCGGGGGGGGGTGCGGATGGTTTTTGTATCATTTTGGGCTGCCGCTCCGCGGGTCTGAGTCATGCCGGCGGGGCGGCCGCACCGCAGTGCGCTAAGCGGGGCGGGCTGCGGGTCCGATCCGCACCGATCCGCCCCGATCCGCCCGCAGGGTAAGGGGGGAACCGGGACTCCCACCCGGGAGACCCCCCCCCAGTCCCCCCAGCCCGCAGCGGCCAAGGCTTGGGGGGGGGTGCAGACACTACCCGGGGTGTGCTGCAGTTCAAAAAAAACCAAAAAAAAAATGCAGTTAACTTAAAAAAAACCCCAAAACAGATTGGGGGGGGGCAGGAATGGGGCTCTTCGTCTTAGTTACCCTTTTCTTGCCTTTTTTCTGCTCTGAGGTTATGGTGAAAGTAGCAGTAGCTGTTGTAAGCGTGTGCTCTCCCAGGTGGGACTGCGGCGGAATGGTTCTGGTTCGCCACCGAGGCGGTAAAGCCTTTCTTGCTGCTGGGATTGCTGTTGCTTGATATTTCTTGTTATTGAGACTGGTTGGATGCTTGAGTTAAAGCAGCAGTTTAGAAAATTCAGTTGAGGAAGCGTTTTCTGTTTTCTTTTAAGCCATGTTGTGATTTGCTGTCTACATAGGTATGTTCTAAGCTAAAATTTCACTGTTTTCTCATCTCTTTGTTCAGGAGTACGAAAAAAAATGACTCATTTTCACAAAAATAGATTGGTTGAACGGCTACTGTCAAAGCTGTTATGCTGGCTATGATGATTTTTATTAACCTGCCTTATATTTATTCTGCTCACGACTTGGTTTTGTTAAAAGGCAAAACCCTTTTACTCTGCCAAAAGCATTGGGCGGTTGAGGGCTCTGGGAAGATGGAGAAGTTCCCAGGGAGGTTCTCGTTGCTGTCCAGAACGGCTCTTGCTTTAACCACCAGAGCAGCGGCACTCCCGCAGATTCACGTCACTGTGGGATGAGCCTCTGGTCTTGGAAGGCTTCTCACAGAGTTGTTTACCCCAGAAAATTGTCTCATCTTGCACATTATGGGTTTGGTTTGTCTTAGTTCTGCTCAATAGGAAATCATACAGACAGGAGAAAAAGTTAGTGGTTTGGTTTTGGTTTTGGGGTGAGTTTTTTTTTGTGAATTGGGTCATTTTTGTCAGTAGAAAAGTGAACTAGACCTAAGGTTGAAAAGGATTTCAGTATTGTTTTATTATGAAATCATCTTTTCAAGTCCACAGTCGGTCTTCTGGGAGGAAAAAACTCCATCTCAACATGATTATGGTCTGCCACGCTAGACTCTTAGCTGCATATAGAAATAGCTTCAGGCAGTATTAACAGGGTCAAGAGCAGCAATGTAACTGTTTCCCTGCAGTCTTATCATAAGTGAAACTTGTTATCTGAATGCCTTTAATTTTTTGGGACTTGCAATCCCACTTGAGCTTTGAAGACAAACATGAAATCATGCCCTCCTAGCGCAAGTACGGCCCCTCTCTCCCTCTCTCCCCCTTGTATCTGCTTGATACTGAGTCTGAGTAGCCTACTGTCTGCAATAGCAGAGATTTTTTTAGTAGTAGATATTACTGTTTGTAGTTCAGAACCTGTGTGCAGAAGTCTAACGACTCCTGCCTTGGAGTTGTCTACGTTAAAAAACAATCCTGACCTTCCTAGCTCACTGCTACCTGCGGAATACAGGGATCGTGGAGGACTCGAGCCATCGCTGCAGTCACACGGTGGGTTATTGCAGGTCGGTCCCTCAGTGAGAGGGAGAAATTTTGGGAGAGGAGAGGCAAAAGTCCCCGTAGTGCAGACAAATCTCTTGCAACCCCATAAGAGAGAAGAAAGGAGCACAGTCTGGGTCCAGGTTTATTGGGGAATTGCTGTAAAAGAAAAAGCATTCGAGATCTAAATGGTCTCTCTTTTTTGTTGGGTGCATTTGTAGCTGTAAGAAATAGGGAGACCGGTGGAATGGTGTAATCGGAGGGGAGCAAGGAGACCTGTCTACAGCCTGTCGGGGCTCAAATCTCAGTTCTCAGAATAAAAATCCTCTTTCGGGAAGTGCAAAGTTACTTTTCTCTCTTCTCTTTCACTGGTTTTCCTGGCCAATGCCTTCAGCTCCATACTGAATCGAGTCTTGAAACCTCGATTCCTCACCACGTATTTTGCTAGTTTCATGTAGCTTTTAAGTATAATAAACATCTAACGTGTGTTTATGCCTCCAACTTAGGCAAGAAGCATGATCAAGATGAACTGCGTCATATTAACTGCCTGCATTGTTCTGGTTGCTTTTTGTAGTTGCGGTGAGTATAAGGGAGGTACTTTCCTGCTGTCATGTTATGACTGGGGCTGAGGAAATCATGGAAAAAAAATGTCGGGGAAGGAAAAATAACAAGGAAAGGCCTGGATTATTTGATACGATTTTGGGGAATGACAGAAACCATCGAAGTAGGGCTTAGTTTCTGTTGCTGATTGTCTTTGGTCAGAAGAGAGAATTAGGTGCAGAATATGACGCTGCTTAATATGGCAACAGACTGGTGTGTTTTGCTGCTAGAAGCTTGGATTCCTGGTATGTAAATTGGAAAGTAGGCGTATGGCACGAGAAAGAAATGAGATGAAATAAAGAAGGGCTAGAATAAAATTCTGCTGAAAGTGTCTCTTGTTGTCTGTCCTTTTGGAAAAGGCAGTCTTTAAGAGTAGATAAACGAAGCAAACATTTAGTATCTTGTTCTGCAGGCACATAAAGGTAAATGGTTTGAAAAATGGCCTAAGTACATGCTTCAAAATCTTCCTTTCAAAACTGCCTATCTCAATTTGTACCCTGACAAAAGCTTGTAAATTTTAGCTTAAGTCTTGAGTTTAATAACCAGGCATATGTTTTCTGACAGTTAGATGCAGATAGTGATTCACCTCTTTTTCCTTTTTAACGCTGCTACTGTTTCAGTACTTTACTATTCAGTAAAGATAAACCCTTGTCTTCTTAGGTTATGCTCTAAGGTGCTACCACTGCGAGAACAGCCCTTCCTTGTGCAAGACCAATAGTACTTGCTTAGCGTCTGAAGATACTTGCTTGCAGATGAAATTTGGTATGTATACTGTTCCACAGAACTAAAATAAACATGGTTATATCAGTTTTCATTGCCTGTATGCTTGTAATCTGGCCTTAGTGTGCATTTCTTAGCCTCACTCAAAAGAAGGCTGCAAATACTTTTCAAGGTCATGCTTATATCCAAGCAACTAATGAAGATAATGATGATTTAGATAGCTGATTTATACTTGTATGAGCATATACACAGATAACTGTATATCCAGATTTGAAAAACAAAACAAAACAAAAAGCCACCACCCAAGGGAGATGGAAGAAACCAGGAGACAGCATTGACTTTAAAATACAAAACTTTTGCCCTGAATTTGTTGCTCTCTAAAAACAGATAAAGCATGCGTAACCCACAAAATAAACCTGCAGGTGAAGACTCAGTTGTTTATGAATTGACACTATTAACACAAATTATCTTTTCCTGAGGGGGAAGTGACCTGCATCTCAGAAAGACGGTCAGGGATGTTGAGCGCATAGAATTCTTGCTCTAGTTGTTAAATAACATTTAAGTAACTCTATTGCTACCGGTGACAGGGGTTTCATTGGAAAAACAGAAGTACCAAGTCAACTGAAATAATCTCCTGCTTTCCCAACTGGTTCCCTCTGCTCTAGAAACAGTTTTGGGCTGGCTTTGGACAGCGGGAACCCAGATGGGGTGGGACCGCTCTGTTCCCTGGCAAGGTCCCTGCTAAAGCTCATGCCTTGGCGTGGAGGAATGAAGCTTCTTCTAATGCTGCTGGACCAGGATGCTGCTCTGTGCTGCTTGCATCGGAAGGAATTTTCTCTTTTGCTGTTTCCCTTGAGCCTAAATCTTCATGAGCACAAAGCGTAGGCTTCCTAGCACGCAGCCTAGGGCGGTTGTCCATCGGCAGAGTCGGGAGTCGAGTACTTGAGGTGTCAAGCTAGGGTCAGTGGAAGACAAGGTGTTTGATCTCTGCTGTCCAGGGGAATGAGCAAGAAAAGGGGAGGACTCTTCGGCTCTTCAAGCTCTGTCTTCTGCATGTTGCTTCTGGAAATGAAGCTGGTTAGATCCAGCGGGATGAGCTGGATGGTGATGCACTAGCCTTCTCTGGCAGGAGCCCCAGAGTAGGTATCACTCAAGCTTCACCCTGTATCTCCCAGTGGGTCATTTGGACTGAATTGGAAGCACTGGTAAGCTTGAGCTGGAAATCTTTCTTAACCTACGGCTAAGAGCTACAAGAGAGTGCTGTGGAGGCAGGACCATGGCTTGCTGTCGCTATTCACACTACTAAATTCCTAGTGAAGGCAAATTTGGAAACTTACAAGCACTTGAAAGAAGCTAAAAAAGCAAGTATGTGACAGTCTAGGCAGTGATTCTCTCTCCGTACCAAAAATGGTATTACTTTCAATATTCTCTTAATCTGTTTAATTTTTTTTTTTTTTTTAGGTAAATTGAGAACTTTCGCCTGCTGGAAGGCATCCCAGTGCAGTGTGAATGATATTGCTGAATTCTTCCAGTTGGATAATTTTGAATTCTTTTGCTGCCAACATGACTTGTGCAATGAGAGCACAATTACTAGGGTTAACAAAGCAGCCTTCAGTATTGCCTCTGTAATGACCATGTTATGGATGCTTCTGTAATAATCCTGATTTGTATGCCGTATTTTCAAGCTGAAGTTATACAAAATCATTAATGCTCTTCTGAATTGTACTTCTCGCATTTTCAGTTCCTAATAGTGGGCAGAAACGTTACCTTTTAGTTTTAAATTCTGTTTCCTGAGGTTCCATCTGTTAAATCACTGTCTCCATTCACGGGAAGGAGATGTATATTGTTAACAGTTATAGGGAATTTGTGTATTTTGGCCTGCCTTCTTCATGGGGAAAATAACTTGTTAGGAAGTAGTGTCATCTTGTGGAGAACCTGGGCAAAGTTCAGTGGGTGATGTGAAAGGGAAGGAATACTATAGGTTTTATGCTGGAAAGGTATAATTTCTTAAAATTGTAATTATTTTTGTTGGGATTTTGGGGGTGGGTTTTTTTGGGGGGGGGGGCTCCCTTGTCATACACCAAGCAGTGGATTTGCCCTCAAGACAAGAAGTGTTGGATCATGAGTATAAACTTGCTGCAGTCTTCATGATGACTATGGCAATATTTAGTTTCAAGTGATTTAGACTCTGTTCCCATCACTGTAATGTTTTTCTTTTCTTTTCTTTTTACAAGCCAATGATATATCCTTGTAAGTACTGTTATTTTGGGAGGAAGCATCTACATTTCCTAAACCAAAACAAAAATAATGCTGTAAGTGAGAAACACTTTCCCCTCTTTTTATATTTCCGTGAGCATGCAGACGACACGTTAGCTGCGTTTTTTCCACCCTTATACTTTATCCATGTCTACGATTTTAACTAAGCATGTGCTTTGCACTGAGTATTTATTGGTATACTGAAAATTATAAAATGCTAAGGAATTGAAGTGGCACATCTAGTTTATTTTCCCACATAGTCAGCTTTTGGTTTTTGTTGAAAAAAAAGTGACATGTAAACTTAACCCTTTAAGCTCCCACCTAAGAGTATTGAAAAAAACCTTGCAGAACTTTATATTTTGACTTTTATGCAACTCTATAAATGCCAGTACAAAATATACATGTATTTATATAGCATGAAGAAAAAACGCTGGGTTTGGATGTGTAAGAGGTCTGGAGCTGAAATAGTATGTACATTGCTTTGCCTCGGTGGTGGAGACAGACCTTTGATACTTCTCTGGTAGCTGGGGACCCTCTCAGTCAGGTACAATGTCAAATTCTGCTTTTTGTCTTCTGGAGCTCTTGGCATGTCCCTGCAAGAGTTGTGGTCCATTGCCAATGGCGTATTCTCTTTCTGAGGACGCTCGCTTGTGCTGCGCAGGGTGCCAGTGACACCAGTTCACCCAGTCATAACAAGGGTGTTACTCCAACTCCATGATATATTCTGCAATGTATCTTTTAGTTAAGCTTATCTTAGCTATGAAAGCATCCTGGGATCTCTCTGTTCACTCGAAATATGGGAATCATCCTGTCTTTGATTAATAAAAATGTCAAAAAAGAAAATGTGGAGAGTGTGGCTACTTATTGGCGCGCTGTTTACAGCTGGACATAACTCTAGGCATTTCCGCGTGAGATGCATCCACGCTCCCCATCCAGAGACTCAACAAGTTGCAAGTAGACTTCTCTCACTTCTTCTCTGGGGGTGGGTGCTACGTGGAGTCGGTTAGCTTTGGCAGAGTGGTTATTTGCTTTAGGGAGCTGTTTGATAGGACAAGGGGTAATGGTTTTACACTAAAAGAGGGTATAGATTCAGACTAGATAGAAGGAAGGAATGTTTTATGATGAGGGTGGTGAAACGCTGGAGCAGGTTGCCCAGAGAGCTGGTGGATGCCCCATCCCTGGTGATTTGATGTTGTGCTAGAAAGAAGAAAAGTCCTTGATTTCCCAGTCTCTTGTCCCTCCACCTTTTTATTTCCCATCTTGTTAACAAAAGCAGACACTTAAAAGACAGTAATTTCTGGGCAGTGACTCAGTGACTTTTTCCACTGATGCATCACCATTTGTCAAGCTCTTGCTCATCTCAGATGGAAAAAGTGGTATTAAAGCATGGACTCAATATACAGTTGTGGGAAGGTTTGTAGCAAAGAAATTAACTTGTGTTAGATAAGCTGATAGATTCCGTATGCTTAAACCGTTGGTTTTTTTCACTACTATATTGCCAATGTCCCTCTTTTGATGGTTGGCACTTTTAAACCTGTTTTATTGCTGTATGGTCTGCATAGTAAAAGATTCTTTTAATAAGCACAAAAAGAAGCTCTGTATTTTGTCTAATAATAGTTTGAAAAATAATTTTTAATATTTGCATTTTGATAGCCTTGAATACTTGCTTGTTTAATCTGTCATATTTCTCCTTTCTTTTTCTTCTCCAAGCAGCTTGAGCAACGAGTCCTTGTGGTTTGTACTCTAGAAGGCCATTTCTTTTGTAAAGATCAACAAGAACATTGTTTAATTCTTGTGGTGAGAATGCATGTAGCAAAGTAAGAGAATTTGCTATGATAGCAAAAAACTTTCAAAAAAAAAAAAAAAGACTAGATTTCAAGTGGAAAGTATCCCTTTTGTCTCTCTCCTGGGAGGGGCAGATTAGTTATGTAGGCTGATTCTCATCTCATGCTATTTACAAGCTAAATTGTGACGCAGGGTTTCGTGTTTTGGTATATGTTTGCATCTTCTAAGCTGGCGTGGTCTGACGGGTGAGGTCTCCTGCAGAAAGAGTTGTTGAACAGGGACTGCTGCTTGAACTTTGGCACTTCTCCCACTGCTGCTCTATTATGTCCA